TCCTCCGCCTCCTCCTTCTCCTTCCCTCCTCGTTCTCCTCCTCCTGCTCCTCCTGTTCCTCCTCCTGTTCGTCCTCCTCCTCCTCCTCCTCGTCGTCCTCCTCCTTCTCGTCGTCCTCCTCCTCCTCCTCGTCGTCCTCCTCCTCCTCGTCCTCCTCCTCCTCCTCCTCCTCTCCTCCTCGTCGTCGAAGGGCTGAGGGTCGATCTTGAAGGAGGGCGGGTGAGGAGGCGCAGGGGCTTCCCAGGAGGGTTTCTGGCTGTCTCCACAGAGGGAGAGGGCCTCAAAACAGGCCATGAGGGCCCCAAGAGGCTCCCTGGACGGTCCACGAAGTCCACAAGTAGTCAAAAGATCGATTGATCCGAAACGCCCACTCTGGCCTCCAGACGGCCCAAGAAGCTCCCGTGACGCCCCAAAAAACCCAGTAGAGGCGTCCCAAGAAGGCTTCCCAAAGCGAAGCTAACCTCTGGAAAACGTAAAATTTCTGGCGTTCGCGACGTCCCGGACTGCCCAGGAGGCCTTCCGAATCGCCCCAAGACGGGACCCCCGAGACGGCCCAGGAGGGCCCCAGCCAGGGCGGCCCCCTGGCCACCAGGCAGCCCCAAAGAGGGCCGCAAAGAAAACCCAAAGAGGCCCCCAGGAGGCCCCCCAAGAGGTTCAAAACCAGCCTCCAAAACGCTCCCAAAACGTCGCCGACGAACCCCCATCAGCCATCCAGGTGGCCTTAGACCCACAACCCAGGCACGGTAGCGGGATGTGCCAAAGGCCACTCGATAATTATGCTTCGGGTGATTTGGCAGATGCCCGCCGTCGGTGTACGTGGGGGTTCGCCCGTTTCCCCATGCGCGCACAGCGAATGCTGACAGTGTCAACCCAAGAAACCCCAAAAGACTCCCGAGAGGCCCCCATGAAACCCCAAGAGAGCTCCAAGAATTCCCCACAAGGATACCCTCAATGGCAACACGCAACAACCGCCAGTCCCCCAAAGGGTCGGCGGAATCTTCCTGCATTCAATCCCTTGATAATGTCGCACCCCGAAGCGTCGGCGGGACGGGCCGGGCGTGTCGCCTGAGATTTCCTCACCATTTATGATCATTGAGCTGACAATGTGCAAAAGTTTCACACATGGAGGGGGGCGCTTTCAAAATGTAGCTTCGCCCCAGCTTCGCGCCGCGCAGAGTCGCATTGAACATTTGAATTCAATTCGCAGAAGGAGTGCGGTCCGCTGTCAAAAATGTGGTTGTCGCCTTGTCGCCGCGCACACCCGTGCTAAACATTCGCAGAACATCTCAGGGGTGGAAGGCGGGCCGCTTCCGACATGTGGCGCGCGCTCCAGCGCCGCGCGCATGAAAACACATTGAAGCTTCGCGGACGGAGCTGATGGAGGGCGGCCTCTTTCTCAAAATGTGGCTCTCGCCGACGCGCCGCGCACACTCGTATTAGGAGTTCAGAACAGCTTGAAGGATCCTGCTGGTCACCATCCCACAAATGGAATTGTGGCGCCTTGTCGGCTTGTGATAGCGCAGCAACTACGTTCATTCGCGCGGGCGCGTCGCAGCCTTGAACGCCCGCGCTGGGGTCGCCGCCTCGCCTTGTCCGCGCCAGCGAACTGTCAGCGGCCAGAGGCAACAACGGACGGCAGCGAGAGCCCGCAGGGCCCCCCCCCCACTGGGGCCACCAACCGGTGAACACGCTGTTATCTGGCTCCCTCCTCCTTCCCACCTCCTACTCCCCCTCCGCCTCCTCCTCATCGTCCAGCCCCTCCTCTGATATCACTCTGCTGCGCCGCAGCGCTTGCGTACACCACAGCGCCTGTGTACACCACATCAGCCGCGCGCACCACTACGTCCGTGTACACCACCGCATCCGTGCATCACAACGCATGTGAACACCGCGACGTCTGTGCACACTACCAGTAGCCATGTGCACCGCAAAATATGCGTAGGCCACAATAGCTGCGCGCACCACAGCGCCCCTTCACACCGCAATGCGCTGGCCCTGCGTGCGCGTCGATGCCTGCGTGCGCCGGAGCGCCTGTGTACTCCTTACAACGTGCTTTTGAAAATGCACAAGATTCACGCTTGTGCCCGGCTTGCAAGCGTTACCGTTACGAGGGGGGGTCTGGGGGGGTAACACGCGTTACCCCCCCGGATTTCAAAATAACAATCTCCTCCGAAACGGGTCGATGGAGCGGGCCGGGCGTTTCGCTTCAGACTTCCTCACCATTTGCAATCCTGAAATTTGAAGTCAGCCGCAGTTTCACGGACTGAAGGCGGGTCGTTGTCAAAATGTGGGTCACGCCTTAGCGCCGATCACCCACCTTCGTTTTAAAATTTGCAAAGGCTTCACGGATGGAGGGCCGGCCACTTTCGCCTCAGCGCCGCGCACTTTCGTTTTAACAGGTTTCAAGAAAATGTGACTCTCGCCTCAGCGCCGCGCAACGTTGCCTTAACAGCTTACAGTAGTTTCAAGGATTACAATGGCCGACGTCCCAGCAACGGTTGTCTTGGCATGGTTTGAAGCTGTCAGGGCGCAGCCGTCACGTTGCTTCGCGGTGTTGACGTCCCAGAAGCACGATTTGCGGTCGTTGATTCGCGGCTTAAGTCCCAGAAATGGTGCTTGGGCACGGATGAATGTTTGCAGGCGTCTGTCCGCAGTGAAGACATGTCCTTATACCCGCCGGCCCCCTTGTGGGGCCACCAGGCTGTAGGCGCGGGTTCGCAGTTTCCTGTACCAGTTGTAGCTTGTAGTTTCCAGTGTTACAGTTCTGCTTCTTGCTGGTTATTGTAACTAGTTGATTGACCGCGCGAGGGGGAGGGGAGGCCCAAACCAGATTTTTACCGGCTCCTGGGCGCGTTGTCTGAATTGCTGGGGGGGCTCGAAATCGACACCCCTCACGCAGATCCGCGGGGTCAGGGTCCAAAAACACAAGGGATTTGTCACATTTCTGAAATTCGGTGCCACCCCTCACGCAGATCCGCGGGGTCAGGGTCCAAAAACACAGGGGATTTGCCACATTTCTGAAATTCGGTGCCACCCCTCACGCAGATCCGCGGGGTCAGGGTCCAAAAACACATTGGATTTGCCATATTTCTGAAATTCGGTGCCACCCCTCACGCAGATCCGCGGGTTCCATGGCCCATTCTCCGAGAGAGGGGGCCGGCGGCAGGGGGCGAAGCCCTTACGGATATACATGTGCTAGTATGCATGCGCTTGTTTGCAATTGATAATATTGATGGTATTATTATTGTTACTCCTCCTCCTCCTCCCCCTCCTCCTCCTCCTCTTCCCCCTCCTCCCCCTCCTTCCCCTCCTCTCCCTGCTCCCTCCCCCCCTCTCCTCCTCTACCTCCTCCAAGAGGCCCTGCAGAAGCCGTGAGAATTCATTTACAGCTGAACGACATCTCGCCGAGATTTTGCGCCATCGTCGTGGTGCTCGTCAGCGTCCTGACGATCCTGTGCGGCGAGGGCTTGAAGAGCCAAACCTTCTGCATCAATAGATTGGGGAGCGCCCGCGCATGGGTATGGCAGGGCGACGCCGAGCGCACCCAGGAGATTGCCGACCTGATCACTGCCAGGGACAGCATAGGGCGGCATCAGGAGGGGGAGAGTGGGCATCACCTGCGGCAGCATGAGCATGGGCTGGTGGACACCGGCGGGCATCAGCTGCGAGGCACATCCGTTCGCCCATGAATATGCGCCGCCACCATAGGACTCCTTGACGGAGGAAGAGGAGGACGAGGAGGAGGAGGAGCAGGAGGAGGAGGAGCAGGAGGAGGAGGAGCAGGAGGAGGAGGAAGAGGAATAACAAGAAGAAGAAGAAGACGAAGAAGAATAAGTAGTAGAAGAATAATAATAATAAGAAGAACAAGAAGAAGAGAAGGAGGCGAAGGAAGAGGAAAAGGCTTAAGAGAGAAGGGAAAGGAGGCGGAGAGGACAAGAACGAGGCGTCCCCGTAGGAAACTCCGAAGCCCGTGCCGCGCTCGTCCCCGAACGCGCACTCCAGGCTGCTTGCCCCCGGACCCCCCGTGAGCCTCAGCATAGGCCCGTACTCGGAGACCTTGCGACCACTGTCGCGCCCGTCTGGGCACGAAGCCTCGTCCTCCTGTGGAGAGCGACCAGCTTCTGCAGAAAGCTCCATATCGTCTCCGCACCGCCGCCATTCGAAGCCCCTGCCGCGCCCCTCGGGCCGCCAGAACACGCCCGAGCTGGTCATCCGCTCCGCATCCAGGACAAAGCCCTGCCCCAGAGCGACGCGGCCTTCCTCGTCCAGACGGACGAGGCCCTTCCCTGAGCGCCGCTGGCCAGCTGGCCCCGTGGTCTCCACGGAGCAGCTGCGCCCACCTGGGTCCAACACGACTTTGTGCCTAGCGTTGTCCTCGTCGGCCCAGAACCCCAGGATCCGCTCAAGACCAACCGGATTCATCGACATTCTCGGCAAAAGCGAGCAGTCTCTGCTGGAGGCGTTCGTGTCGTCTGCGCACCGCCGCCACTCAAACCCCCTGCCGCGCGTCACGACGTGCTGCCAGAACACCCCCGAGGAGGTCGTCTGCTCCTGGTCCAGGAAATAGTTGTGCCCCCAAATGAGGAGCCCTTCGGCGTCCAAACGGATGACGCCCTTCTTGGAGCGCTGCTGGCCAGATGGCCTCGTCGTCTCCACGGAACAGCTCTCTCCATCTGGGTCCAGCACCACTCTGTACCTGGAGTCATCCTGGTCGGCCCAGATACCACAAATGTACGCGAGACTGTCCAAATCCGCTGCCATGCCACCCTGGCACGTGGAGGCGTGGTAAAATGCCAAGTGCGCTCTGGTAGGGTTTATGTCATCTTCTAAGGGGCTCTCTCTCTCTCTCTATTCGCGTCCTGTTGCATGCACCCCCCTTCTCGTTCGAGGCTCTCAGGACGGCCCGACGCCTCCTTCGCGTTCCAGGAAGCCCACAATGGCTTCCAAGACGACCCAAGCAGGCCACCGGAGCCACCAAGATGGCAAATATGCCTCTACGACTGACAGCCCAAGATGGTCCCAAGACGACCCGGGATGACTTCAAGACTGCCCAAGAGGCGCTCAAGGCGGCCTTAAGAGGGCTTCAAGGCGACAGGGCCCGAAGAGGCCAACATCACTGATCCCCCTCCGCTTTTTCATGGATGCTCGCGTTCTCATCTTGTCGAGCTTCCGTCACCTTCAGACGGCCCAGGAAGTCTCCGAGATGGCCTCAGGACAGCCCACGCAGGCCTCCCGAGGGCCCCAAGACGGCACACGAGGGCTCCAAGGTGGCGCGAAAACGGTCCAAGAGGATCCCAAGTCGGCCCAGGGAAGGCCTCAGACGGCCCTCAATCCCCAAAGAGGGGCCCCAAGACGACCCCAAGAGCCCCCCTAAGACGGACTCCGAAAGCGCCCAGACGGCCTAAGAGCGCCCTCAGACGGCCCAAGGAGCCCCCAACGAGCCTCCGAGGCGCCCCCCAGACGCTGCAAAGAGGCCCCAGGACGCCCCCAAGAGGTCCCGAAAAAGCCCCCGAGAGGCACACAACAGGACGCCAGGATCTTCGAGAAGCCCGAAGTGTCCCACGCGACGGCCTCCCGTGCCCCCCGAATAGTCGTCACGGCGGCGGGACTTGCCGCAGGCAGCTCGATACATCGCCCTCTCTGGGGAGGGGTCCTGGTTGGCGACAGCTGCGCGACGCGCCGCCGGCTCCTGGCAGTCTGGGGAGGACGGCACGCGTTTACTGGAAGGCCTCGCGTCGTCGCTGCATCTCCACCACTCGAAGCCCTTACCGCGCCCCGTGGGCTCCCAGAACACCCCCGAAGAAGTCGTCAGCAGGAAAAAGCGCTGCCCCCAAATGACGTGTCCCTCAGCATCCAGACGTATGAGACCTTTCGTGGACCGCTTTTGCCCAGATGGCCTCGTCGTCTCCACCGAGCAGCTCACCCCGCCTGGGTCTAACACCACCCCGTACTTGGAATCGCCCTGGTCGGTCCAGACGCCCAAGATGCGCTCGAGACCTTCTGCGTGCATCGAGCTGCTCGGGGAGAGCAAAGAGCTGGGAGACCTCGCGGCGTCTTCGCACCTCCACCACTCGAAGCTCCTGCCACGCCCCACAGGCTCCCAGAACAACCCCGAGAAGGTCGTCCGATCCTCATCCAGAAAAAAACTCTGCCCCCAAACGATATACCCTTTCCCGTCCATGCGGATGAGGCCTTTCGTGGACCGCTGCTGCCCAGATGGCCTCGTCGTCTCCACAGAGCAGCTCTGCCCGTCTGGGTCCAACACTACCCTGTACTTGGAGTCTCTCTGGTCAGCCCAGACCCCAACAACGTGGTAGAGACGGTCCCGTGCGTGCGGCATCGTGTCTGGTCTGGGTCAGCATTCGCAGTGCCGCGCTTAAGGCAGAATGGCTTGGGCCAAAAAGATTACGGAGGTGGACAGTGTGGAGGGAGGAGCAGAAGGGGTCCCTCGAGTTCTAGAGCAGCTACGACAAGATGACAGCTGCCGCGATGCCCAAGCATGGCCCCAAAGAGCGGGTCGCGCCTGGGGCGTCTTGGAGGCCTTCGGCCATATTGGAGCTTTCCTTGGGGCCCCTCGGGGTCATGCTGGGAGCCTTATGGGGCCGACTTGGGGCTCCCGTGGGAGCCTCTAGCACCGTCTTCAGCCGTCTTGGGGTCCTCTGGGGCCACCTGGGGGCTGCTTCGGGGCCCCCTCTGGGGCCTCTCGGGCCATGTTGGCAAGATCTTGGGGCCTCTTGCGCCGTCCTGGGCCGTCGGAAGCCCGAAAAGGCGAGGGCCCCCAAAACATATGTAGCACACCGCATATGCAGATAGTAGTGAGGGGGTGGTGGGGCCGTCGGAAGTTTGCGAGACTCTGGAAAAGCCCGCCGCAGGCGCCAGAGTTTCACAAATTATACAACGAGCCCGCCGCAAGAGCCGATATTTTCGTTAAACCAATGTGGGTAGGTCGCGGGTGGGTCGCGGGTGGCTCGCAAATGGGTCGCGGGTGGGTCGCGGGTGTAGAGGGCAGAATATCCACCCCATAAGAATCACCCCGTCAAGCGAAGCCGTTTAGTAAACGCACACAAGGAGTGAATCGAACTAGGCAAGGCTGTTTAATCTACGCCCCGGGCCGTTTAGTAAACGTCAATTGTCGGGTCCGGGTGGTTTTTCCTCCCTTGAGGGTGGGTCGCGGGGTGGGTCGCGGGTGGGTCGCGGGGTTCGCGGACGGACGGTCGCGGGGTGGGTCGCGGGTGGGTCGCGGGGTGGGTCGTGGGTGGATCGCGGGTGGGTCGCGGGTGGGTCGCGGGGTGGGTCGCGGGTTAGGTCGCGGGTTAGGTCGCGGGAGGGTGGCGGGTGGGTCGCGGGGTGGGTCGCGGGGTGGGTCGCGGGGTGGGTCGTAGGGTGGGTCGCGGGGTGGGTCGCGGGTGGGTCGCGGGTGGGACGACGACGACAACAACAAACAACAACAACAACAACAACAACAACAACAACAACAACAGCAACAACAACAACAACAGCAACAACAACAACACCAACAACAACAACAACAACACCAGCAGCAGCAGCAGCAACAACAACACCAACAACAACACCAACAACACCAACAACAACAACAGCAACAACAACAACAATAACAACAGCAACAACAACAACAACCACAGCAACAACAACACCAACAACAACAACAACACCAACAACAGCAACAGCAACAGCAACAGCAACAACACCAACAACAACAACAGCAACAACAACACCAGCAACAAAAACAACAGCAGCACCAACACCAACAACAACAACTACGCCAGCAACAACAACACCACCAACAACAACAACAATCGCAACACCAACGCAACAACAACAACTATAACAGCAACAACAACCACCACATCAACAACACCAACAACAACAGCAACACCAACACCAGCACCACCAACAACAACAGCAACAACAACAATACAAACACCAACACCACCAACAACACCACCACCACCACCAACAACAACAACAACAACAACAGCAACACCAACCACAACCACAACCACAGCCACAACAACAACAGCAACAACAACAACAGCAACCGCAACAGCAACAACAACAGCAACAGCAGCAACAACAACAGCAACAACAACGCAACAACGCAGAATTCTCACCACGAGTTCCTTCTTCAGCCACGCACCCAGGGTCAACGAACGACCGTTCGGCCCCCTCACTCTGACAAAACGTAACGCAAATCAATACAAAACTTAATGAACATCCATGTTTTTGGCCCCCCCCAGGGTCTTGTTGCACTTTTGGGCAGTCTTGGGACCCTCTTGGGCCAGTTGGGAGCCCTTCTGGGCCGTCTCGGGCCGTCTTGGAGGCCTGTGGCCGTCTTGGCGCTCTCGTGGGGGCCTCTTCGGGCCCTCTTGGGAGCTTCTTGGGGCCATCTTGGGGCCATCTTGGGGCTCTCTTGGGGCCGTTCCTCTTGGGCCGTCTCGAGGCCCTCTTGGGGCCCCTGGGACCGTCTTGGGACGATCCTTGGGGCCTCTTCGGCCGTCCTGGGCCGTTCCTTGGCCCGAGAAAGCGAGAATCTAAAACACATAGCCTCCTGAAGCTCTCTTGGGGGTCCTCTTGGTGTCCTCTTGGAACCTCTTGGGGCCCTCCTGGCCGTCTTGAAGCCATCAAGAACCATCTTGGAACGCTCTTAGGCGGTACTGGGCGTTCTTGGGGCGAGCTGGGCCGTCTTGGAGCCCTCATGGACCCCTCTTGGGCCGTCTTGGGCGCTTCTTGGGACGTCTTGGGCGCCTCTTGGACGGTCTGGGGGGGGGGGGGGGGGCCATTAGATGCCGATATTCCGCGCCGCGCCCCTCCCCTGGACCCCTCCCTAAAGAGATTCGCCCCACCAAAACGTCATCACTCGTACCTCGCTCTTTCCGTAATATAGGCCGGCACGGTAACGGAAAGAGCGCATCAAAAACTTGCCCGAAATGGCTCGAGGCACCTTTCACTCTTTGGAGCCGTGGTGTTCAGAGTTGTTTGCATCACCGCTTGCTACTGGGAGCCTTGGTGTTAAGGGCTTTTGACGTTACCGCTCGCTCTTGGGAGCCTTGGTGTTAAGAGCTGGTCACGTTCCTGTGAGCTCTTGGCAGCCTTGGTGTTCAGAGCATGTAACATCACAGTTCGCACTTGGGAGCCTGGGTGTTAAGAGCTTGTCACGTCAGCATGGGCTCTCGGGAGCCTTGGTGTTAAGAACTTTTTACGGCACCGCTCGCTCTTGGGAGCCTTGGTGTTCAGAGCTTCTAACGTCACCGTTCGCTCTGGGGAGCCTTGGTGTGAAAAGCATGTCACGCCACTATGGGTTCTTGGGAGCCTTGGTGCTCAACGCTTTATACGTCACCTCTCGCTCCGGGGAGCCCTGGTGATAAAAGTTGTTTACGTCCCCGTTCGCTCTGGGGAGCCCTGGTGTTACGAGCTTGGCGTCTCCAGGCCTTCTTGGGGCTCCTGTTGGGGCCCTGTTTGGCCCCCTGGGCCCTCTTGGGCCGTCCTGGGGCCCTTTTGAGCCGTCTTGGGGCGTCTTGGAGGGCTGTTGCCGTCTTGGAGCTTTCCTTGCGGCCCCTCGGGACCGTAGTGGGAGCCTCTAAGCGCCCTCCTGGGCCGTCCTGGGGCCCTCTGGGGCCGTCCTGGGGGCCTCTTGGGGCACCTTTGGGTCACCTCTGGGGCCACCTTGGGACGATCTTGGGGGCCCCTTGCGCCGTTCTGGGCCGTCGGAGCCCCGAACAGGCGAGAATCCCAAACATTAAAATTTGAAACAAAAAACTGAAGGATATCCATAGTTGTTGCCTCTTCTGGGTCCTGTTGGGGCCCTGTTGGGCTCTCCTGGGGCCCTCTTGGGCCGTCCTGGGGCCCTTTGGGGCCGTCTTGGGGCGTCTTGGGGGCCTTCGGCCGTCTTGGAGCTTTCCTTGGGGCCTCGCAGAGCCCTATTGTTTTATTGTTTTGTTTGCGCTTGCGGCCGAATTCTCGCATAGATGGAGTGTGAAGTCGCCGAGGGTCTTGGAGCGCACTCTGCGGCAAGGCACGAAAGTCGCAGATGCTGAAACGCAACAGAAAACAAGCGATGGGCACTGACCTTAGGGCGACGAAATCTATACATATCCACTGCTCCCAGGCCAGGCCCATCCTCAACCCCGCAGCGGTGTATACGCCACGCCCTCCTGGCTTGGCCAGGAGGGCGCATACACAGCTCCTGGGTTCAAGATGGGCATGGTCAGGGAGCAGTGGATATGTATAGATTTCGTCGCCCGATGACCTGTCAGACCGGCAACGGTACTTTCGAGCCAAACTATCCAACGATACGGCTTGCCCAAATGACACATACGCACACCACAACCGCACACTAGAGTTAGGTGCCGTCGCACCGCGCGTGCGGTCCCACCAGCATCAGCAAGCTGCGGCAAATCCACAGTGCCTCGTGCATTTCTGCGAAAGAGCACGCAGCGAGAGGACAGACAGGAAAGGGCGAGGGTCACAGGCAGGTACTTTCCTGAGAAGGGGAGGAGGGAGTGCGACCACAGAACGCTTCACCCGACTCGGCCTCGACCGCTGTGCGAATCACAAGGGGGCCCAAACAGGGAACACCACACGAGCCGACCTGCGATAAACGAGCTCATGCACCGAACCGCGACCTGAAAGATGAGTGAGCGTGCCGCGTGCCGCAATGCAGGAATCGAATGAGGATGCGTACCAAGCTCGGTCTACGAGCGCACCCCGTAATGCGTGCATCGGCTCCGCTGTGCAGAGGCCCTTAATCACTGGCTAAATGCCTTCAGTGCGGGCACGATTTCCTCAAACCTATGACCAGAAAAGAGAGAACTGCGTTGCTTTTGTTGTTTGAACACACGATGTGTTATGGCATTCGTCATGCTTACAGGACATTGAACATGAGGGGGGCAGATGAGTTCCCGCCATACGTTCCTGCCCAAAGAAGGACGCGATGAACATCGAAACGATAAACGCGAACATGACCTCTGAACGCGACACCGCGGTCTGGCGGTAGCCCCTGCCGCCATTTCAGACTTGCCCCTGTCCCTACTGTGGCCACTGCGCCATTGACCGCATGCTAAGCTTGAATCGTATGCACGGCCTCTGCCTCCTTCATAAGGGCTGTTTGCTGACTTGTCAACTCCACTTCGAACTTGCTTGGTAAAAATCCTTGAAACCAATATCCCTGCACGCCCGGCTCAGCATGACGTACGTTCTCGCGCACAAAGGCATCTGCGTCTGAACCGAATCGTTGTATAATTGAACGGCGTATTGAACGCGCTCAGACATAATACATGCATGTATTGTATGATGGTAAGCAAACCTGTTGGGCTCGAAGGACTGCTCCCGCATCGCGTCGAAGATGGCGATGGCTTTCTCGAATTGGCCACAGTACGAATAGACCCTGATCATGATGCCATAAGATCTTGCATTGGGAGCAACCGCATGATCCGCCATTTTCCCGAACAACTCTTGGGCCTCGTTGTGCATGCCAAGCTGAAGACAAGCACCCAATACTGCGTTGTACGCCGTTCGCTGGAGCTGAATACCTGAGCGCTCCATCTCAGTGCCCACCTTCATAACGAATCCTGGATCGGAATGCTCGTAGGCCACAATGATGGAACGATATGCCCAATTGCTGAGGGTGACCCTGTCGCCCTTCATCTTCACGAAATATTCCACGACACTCACTGGAGGCTCACCCTTCCACGCAGACAGCAAACGGTTCTGGGTACTAGGCGACGGGTCGATTCCATGACATCGAACTAAATCAAGAAGCGACAACCCGTCCCTTTTCATACGCTTGTCATCGAGAGTTTCAGCGACGAACTGAAAGAACTTGTTTGACACGGCCTTGTCAATGAGGTGTGCACCGGGAACAACCCCCTTCTTCAACATGTGGCCGAATAACTTCAGAGCCGCGTCTCTGTGTCCGAGCCTACTGGAGGCACGCATCACTTCCGACACTCTTGGGAGTGTGTGGGTCACGCCCTCTCTCTGGGCGCACTCGATGATGTGCACGTCGAACCTCCGTCGTCGTCTTTGTCCACGCTGATCCCTTAAGCCCCTGGCGCTGCCATTAATAACACCTGGTTTCTGAGGCGACGCGCGTTCCTCGACGGAGGCTGCGCAACAGGCGTCGCGCCTACGGTCCAACACCGCCTTGCCGATTACAGATTCTGCAGTGGCCAAACTGCTCTTTGCTATGAGCTCGCCCGTGCTCTTCGAACTGCGGGAATCGACGAAATAGCCGAGAACGCAGAGCGATACCAGCACGCCGAAATCGATCTGGAAACTGGATCCGCACAGTCTGCTGGACGTGGCAGGGGACACGGGGGGCAGCGCGCAGAGCACGGCACCGAGCGCTGCGACGGTCATGACGAGACGCTGGGCGGTACGCCCCCTGAAAAATGCCTGAGAGGCCTGCTGCACACTCTTAGCCGAAATCGACGACATCTGGCACACCAAAAACTGCGAGATGTGGGAACGTTCCATGACGTATGGATATGTGGAATGCTGCCCGAGCCGCACCAGACTCGGGCCAGCTTAAGCTAGAAGGGCTGGAGCCAAAATGGCCACGGAGGCCCCTCGGGGCCCCATTGGGAGCCTCATGGGGCCCACTCGGGGATCTCTTGGGAGCCTCTAGGCACGACAGCACACTTTTCCCTCTCCCTCTTCGGCCGTCATGGGGTCCTCTGGTACCGTCGGGGTGCCCGCTTCGGGCGCTTCGGGGCCCTCTTGGGGGCCTCTCGGGCCAGGTTGGGAAGATCCTGGGGGCCTCTTGCGCCGTCCTGGGCCGTCGGAAGCCCGAAAAAGTGAGGGCCCCAAAAACATACAAAAAACAAACGAAAATCCGTGTTTTAGCATCCCCAGGGTTCTGTTGCCCTTCTGGGCAGTCTCGGAGCCCTCTTGTGCCAGCTGTGAGCCCTTTTGGGCTGTCTTGCGGCGTCTTGGAGGCCTGTGGCAGTCTTGGGGCTCTCTTAGGGGCCTCTTCGGGCCCTCTTGGGAACTTCTTGGGGCCATCTTGGAGCTCTCTTGGGGCCGTCTTCGGGCCCTCTTGGACCGTCTTGAAGCCCTCTTGGTCCGTCTTGGCGCCCTCTTGGGCCGTCTTGAGGCCCTCTTGGGGCCCCTGGGGCCGTGTTGGGACGATCCTTGGGGCCTCTTGGGCCGTCCTGGGCCGGTCTTGGCCCGACAAAACGAGAATCTAAAAAACATAGTAAAATCGAATGACATGTGGCCTCCTGTCCTGAACCCCTCTTGGGGGTCCTCTCGGGGTCCTCTTGGACCTTCTTGGGGCCCTCCTGGGCATCTGAAGCCATCTTGGAACGCTTTTAGGCGGTCCTTGTGCGACGCTGCCAGCTACTGCCGTAGATCCTGTGAAGCTTGTTCTGGTGCTGTTCCCCCACTGAGCGCCCCCAATGCACCGAAGCGGGGGCCGAAGTGTTCGAGCTTCGCAAGAGGCAAAAGATCAAGAGACCAAGCCAGAGCAGCGTTGGAAGATACGCGTCGGGATCGCGGCGGACGCGGGAGCGGGTCGGGTCAAACGCGGCGCCGTCTCGGGCCGCGTCGGAAGCGTCGGAACGGCGTCGCGGCAAGATAGGGAGCGCAGACGGGCAGCGCCAGGGCCACGGGAGTGTAAAACATTGTTCTTTTGCGCCTGCGAAGGGCCTCTCGCCTCTCGTCCGCCCCTCTCTCTTGGAGGCAGTTTTGAAGCCTCTGGGGGGCCGTTTGGGAGCTCTATGGGGGCCTCTTGGGGGCTCCTCGGGGCCCTCTTGGGCCGTGTATGGCGCCTCTTGGGCCGTCTTGGGGCCGTCTTGGGCCACCTTGGGCGCCACTTGGGCCGTCTTGGGGCCATCTTGGGCTCTCTTGGGCCCCTTTTGGGCACCTCTTGGGGTCCTCTTGGGCCGTCTTGGGCGCCCCTTGGACCGTCCTGGGGCCGTCTGAGCCATCTTTGGGCCCTCTTGGGGGCCGTCTTGGGCAATCTTGGAGGCCTCTGGGGCTGTCTTGGACACTTCGTAAAGGAAAATGTCGAATCTGTTCAAAATGTGCATTTTACGAAGGGAATGTAACCATTTTTGCTTGATGGAGCCCTCCTGGGGGAGCCCTCGGACCCCCCCGGAGCCGTCCGGGGGCGTCTTTGGGGCGTATGGGGCCGTCTGGAGAACATCTTGGGCCGCCTGAAAGCCGTCTTGGGTCGTCTCGGGGCCTCCGTAAGCCGTCTTGGGTTTTTCTGGGGAACTCCGACGCCGTTTCGGACCCCTCCGGGGGCCTTCCGGTGCCGTTTTGGAGCCCCCGGGAGGCTCGGGGAGCCGGGGGCCCACGCAAACCCACAAGGCCTAATTCGAATTTATTTGAATGGATATATATATATATATATATATATATATATATATATATATATATATATATATATCCATATATATATATATATGTATATGTATATGTATATATATATATATATATATATATATATATATATATATCCAGCAAAGCAAGGCAGGAATGATAATCCGCTGCCCCTCAAGGCTCAAGGGCCTTATCCCGCACCACGGGCATGGAAACTGAAGCACGAGGCGAATGCAGAGATATCGCCGAAACCGCCACGCAGCAGGCCTGCACAACAGGCTGTCCTGCGAGCGTGGCCGAAACACCGCCGATCGAAGTCGATCGCGGGGCGAAGAAACCAAAAACATGCAATAGCCCTGGGCTCGGGACGAGGGGAGAAGGAGGAGGAGAGGAAGCAAGGAATGACAGGCGATTGTTCAACCAACTGGAGATAGCAACCTCCCCAGGCCCTATCACGCTGGAAGGCGGTAGGGCGTAGTCGCGCGTTCCCCAGCGGAGTCTCCGAGCAACTCCTCGGAAGCCTCCAGCGCCTCAGCGACCACAGCCAAGACATCTACCTCGGCGAGCTGTTTTATCAGAGTCGCCCCACTCCGACTAATTCAGTTAGCTGCAGCCTGGGAGCAAGCGAAGATCAGCGAAGCGGAAAGTTCAAAGTTGGGTGCACGCACTCTCCAACTGCGCCTATACGAAATAATGTTGGGCACAGCGGTGCCTGGCCAAGCGCGTAGCAACATCGCAGCGGCTGGACGGCGAGCCCAGGCCCATGAGACAGCCGGAAGTCGGCCGGCAACGGCCGCAAGATCCTATGCGCGCCTTGCCCGTGCAGACCGTGGCAAACAAGCCACGAATTCCGGGAAGGAGGAAGGAGGAAGACAGCCGCGAAGACAAAAGCAGCGCGCGTGGAGCGGGGGGGGGGGACAACAGAGGGGCGGCCAGAGATGGCAATCCCTCCGCTAAATCATACACTAAGCGATGGGAGGCTCCCGCAGGTACACCTCACGACCATCAGTCTATACATGGCAGCCGCGCCTCACCACGGAGCTACCCTAGACAAGCGCTGGACACTGGGATACGGAGGCGGAGGAGGGAGGGAGGAGGCCAAAACGGCGCAGAGAACCCAAGAGGACTGGCACTTGGAGCACACTGCCCAACTTCACGACGTGCATGGGGGGAGCGAGGAGGAAACAGGCAGAGGAGGCGAAGAGACGGCCCACCCTGGAGGGGCTAGCCGGAGCTCCGCCTCCGGGAGGCAAGCGAGGGAGGAAGAGAAGAGAGGGGAGAGTCCGGAGCATCCGTAGTTGCGGCAGGACGCAGAGACATCGTCGACTGCCGAGGGAGAGGCGGAGGGAAAGCAGTCAGCAGCCAAATGTGGGCGATATCTGGCCAACGTTTGCGAAGACATCGCTGCCAGAGCAGCCGCCCGAATTTCTGCCCTGTGAGAGCGCCCTCTGCGAACGTCTCTGCTGTAGCACGGGCCCTCCGGCCAGCCTGAAAAAAACGCACCCTGGTGTGCAATCGGCCACGCGGGCGGGACAGAGAAAAGCGGCGAAGGCAGATTCGGGAATGCGAAGGAGAGGGAGGAGGACGAAAACAGGAGGGAGGGAAGGCTAACGCTCGCCAGCTCGAGGCGTCCGGCGGCGGGACGGCGTCCGCGGCGTAGCGGGGTCGTTCTTCCGTCCGGCCAGGACGCGAGGTCATTCGCATGCCAGGGGGAGCAGGGAGAGGGAGGACGACGGGACGAACGACGAGGACGACGAGGAGGGAGGGAGGGGAGGCGAACGCTCGCCCACTCAAGGCGTCCGGCGGCGGGGCGGCGCCCGCGGCGTCGCGGGGCCTCCGTCAGGCCAGGACGCGAGGTCATTCGCATGCCAGGGGGAAGAGGGAGAGGGAGGAGGACGACGAGACGAACGACGAGGACGACGAGGAGGGAGGGAAGGCTAACGCTCGCCAGCTCGAGGCGTCCGGCGGCGGGACGGCGCCCGCGGCGTCGCGGGGCCGTTCCTCCGTCCGGCCAGGACGCGAGGTCATTCGCATGCCAGGGGGAGGAGGGAGAGGGAGGAGGAGGAGGAGGAGGAGGAGGAGGAGGAGGAGGAGGAGGAGGAAGAGGAGGAGGAGGAGGAGGAGGAGGAGGAGGAAGAGGAGGAGGAGGAGGAGGAGGAGGGAATGCAAGAGAGACAGAAGGCAATCAATCTGTCAAGCGCGTCACCTCACCTATTCCCTCCCCCGCGTGCTTGGGCCGCCTCGTAGGCTGGCTTGCCGGTGGCCTTTCACGACCCCCGGCAAAGCTGTCGCAGCGCCTCCACCGCTGCCAGCCCTTGGCGGAGCTGCCCGTGACGGCAATGGCAGTGGACGCGGTACATTGCCGCCTAGCGGATGCCCCGCAAAATCACCGCGTCGTCGTCCGCGGCGACCCGGAGGTCAAGGCCCAGGAAATTGGCCGCGGCCCCGCGGCGTGGCCGCCCTGGACATGCCCAAATCTCTTGCCATGACGGAGTGTCCGGTCGTGCAGTTCGCGTAGTGCTCGATAGAATCCTGGCTGCTCTCTGCACACCCGAACATGCAGCCAGGGAGGCCCGACCGCCCTTGGGTGCGCCGTGAAGTCGGCCAGCCGTTCCACATGGCTCGCCAGGGTGCCGCCCAAATCCGGGGAGGCGCAGTCTTCCCCAAGATCCGGAGAAATCTCATGCCATGCGATACCCGGATACGGGGGTACTGGTCGACCGCCCAGCGTTCGAGTTTGTGCCGCACGCGCGGCTCCAGCTCCTCTGGCCTAGTGGTCGTCAACAAAGTAGCGGCGCAGCCCTGGAAGCCGCGTCGGAGCCTGTGGGCTCGTTGCTCCGTGAGCGGCCGGGCAATCTCGTCTCCCAGAAGCTGCCGCTCGACTGCGTGGGAACTGACGCCCGCGGCGCTGCACTGCGTCAGATTGTCGTCCAGCTGGCAGATGTATGAGCGGTCGAACCAATCCGCCCAAGCAGCGGCCACCATCATACCATCATGTTGTCGGAATTCATGCGAATGCGGCGGAGCTCAGCGGCGCGGGCTGCTACCCGCAAGCCGCCCCCGGCGCCGTTCTCCATTGCTGCAACCCGAAGCTGCGCTGCCCTCTGCCGCGTGCGCAGATCTGCAAATCCGCGGGGGAAGCCGAAGACTTGGAGCTGCCGAAGGTCATCCGGGCATGTCCATAAGTTGGAGCCAGGTACTAAACGGGTGAATACCTCGGCCTCCACTGTCGCCCAGCGAGGTGGCAGGGCATCCAGCTGCATGAGGAATTCGAGGACACATGCAATATACACCGCGTAGGCAGCCGTCGTCAGGTAGAGCCCCCTGCCTGCGGCCCCCCCACCAGCTCGCCCTGTCGAGCACGCCGCTCCATCCCGGGTGCACAGAGAGCACCTCGCGCAACACTGTCGCCGCGTCGCTGCGGAAGAGTGGGACCACGTAGGTCTTCGGCACATTCGAGTGCAAGCCAGATATGCGCCCGAGGTCTGCGAAAATGGAAAGCAGGACCAGAGCGGACTCGAAAAAGTCCGGGGTAACTGCCGCAATGTCGTCCGCAAAGGCCCTTGACACCAGCGCCGGCTGTAGTCTCCGTAGCCGCCTCAACAGCACGTCCACTGCCACTGCAATCAAGATCGGCTAGAGAGGGCAGCCTTGCCGAATTCCGCCCTCGAAATGCGCCGAGCCGCCCACCACCATCGAGCAGTGGTTCTCCATGCACAGCACGTCGACAAACCGCAACAGCAACGGCGGCAGCCCCGCCGCTCCGAGAACTTTTTCCTCCGGAGACATTGCCGCCGCCATGACTTGGCGCATGCTGTGTCGCTGTTCCCAGACAGTCGCATTTACGTCCCCAGGCACCGCCATGCCCCGCGGCTGAAACATGCCCGGGACCCAGGTGGCGAAGTAATCCACGTGAAGGTCGAGGGCCCCCGCTCTGCCCCGCAGCTGGAGCATCGCGGCCTTTCCGGGGACCAGGTGGATCCATCGAGGCTCGGTGTCCGCAAACTGCTCGAGGAATTTCTTTGTCATCACACTTGCGACGCCAGCGCGGCTGGCAGTGCCAGGCGAGAAGTAGGAGACACAGTCGGCAGGGCAGCTCCACGCAGCTGTGGCGCCCTCGAAGCCGTGCGAATCCACGATGGCCACGAAGCCCCGGCTGCGCAGGAGGCGGCGGACGCAAGCGTCCTTCTGCTCGTGCCTCTGCCGCTTGCGCGCAAACGGGGCCTGGGAATTCCAAGTCGCACCCTGCAGGTCGCCCAGGTCTGGGAATCGAGCGTGTGGCGGATCCGCCGTGGCCCGCGGCGGCCTGGCGATGTCCGGGACGGCCGCTCGAGGCGGCGGCGGACGCCGGCGAGGCCAGGGGAGCCGCGGCGCGCTGGCTGCTGGGGGAAGGGCCGGGCAGCGGCCCCACTGCTGGGCTGCTATCTGGCTGCAGAGAGGCGGAAGTAAGAGTGGAAGCTCGGTGGACTGCATCGGAAGAGGCACGTCGCGATGAAGCAAACATGAAAGGTCACCGCGTCGGGAAGCGAGAGGAAGATCCACAACGTGTCCAAGAGCGCCGTTCGAAGCGACAACTTCAATTCGACTTGCATCCACCCGATCTGCGTCACGTGCTGGGCAGGGTGAGGTCCCAGCATCCCCCGTCGCTGTGTCGTTGGGGGGGGGAGGGCCGCTGCGGCAGGGCGGCCTCCCCCCCGCCGGCTGTGCGAACGGGCACTGGCAGCGGTTGTCTCGACCCTCAGGGCCACGAGGCCGCCGCCCACCTGGGCAGCTCGGCCCTGGGTCGCCGCTCTCACTGCCGCCCCATCGGCCGCCGTCTTGAAGTAGAGGCGGACGCGACCTGGATCGGCAGCGGGGTCGTCCGCCGCGACGCGCCTCCAGGACCCCGGCAGGAGCTGGGCCGCCGACGCCGCCGCCGTCAGGTCGAGCCCCGTCTGCTGCTGGACCACGCGCATGATGGCCGAGACCGCTGCCTGCGTGTCATAACCCAGCGAGCCCTCTGTCATGAGCTCCGCGGTACAAGGGCCGCCGCCTGGATTTTCCAAGCGAGCTGCTGCTGGCTGCCGGGCTGCCCGCACTCGTTCCCGAGCGGCCGCAGGAGCTGCCAGCGCACGCCCCCCCATGCGGGAGGGTCGCCACCGCAGCCTGGTGACTGCCACCGCCGGGTCTGCAGCCCAAATCTCGTCGAGACGCTGCTGCCAATCGTCGTCGCGGACGTCCGTGCGGATCGTCACCAACTTCGGCTTGAGGAAGGCCTCCCGGCAGAAGCCGTCGACCTTGGAGAGGGCCGCCGGGTCCATTAGCTCCAGGAGCGGCGCAGCGGGGTCCGCGTAGATGGAGCGGGTGGCAAAGAATACAGGTACTGGCCAGGGCTGGCGTCGAAGACCGACGAGGAGCATCTGGACGCTGAACTCGGTGACGCTCGGCGGCATGTGAAATTCAGTGCGTGTCTGGGGAGCGTCTGGGGCCGATCCTGGACTCCTGCTGCTGCGGCCCATGCGGATGTTCAGCATATCCCCCAAGGCCAGCACCCGCTGGAATACTACAGCGAGATGCGCCGGCGGACAATCCACGAAGATCGCAGGGCCAGTTCGCACCTGCGCCAATGGCATGGCGACCGGAAGGACTCGTCGCCAATGCTATGGCGACGAGTGAAGACAAGTCCTTATAGGTGCCAATGAACAAAAGGAACCTGGAGGGAGGGTTTGTTGCAACCTCGTTGATGGTCTAGGGTTTAACCGCAATGGGTCTATAATGCCTCTCACCTCTTCTGGGGAATCATTATTTGTTGCGCGGGCTTGTTGACGGATTGGGGCCCCAACAGTGTTGGGACAGTAACTATTCTCCCGCGGTGGCCACCGCTCAGGCCTCCGCCGTCGTCACCCTCGCCGCCCGCGGGCGCCTACAGTTAGGAACTCCTCCCTCAGAAGCTGGTGCCTCAGAAGCTAGAGCATGTAGTTTATGCTATCCACCTTGTGCGAAAAGGCTCAGAATTCCCCTCGCGTAGCCCACCACGGTGTGACCGCTGTGTGAAATAACCACCCAACAATAACCAGCACGACAAAAATTAGTGGGATAATAATTCTCCCTGCGCAGCCTCCGCGTCCTCCTCCAGCACGACGATCTTCTCTTCCTCCTCCTCATCATCCAACGAAGACGACGGGCGACAGACTCATGATTTTCACAATAATGGTGCTGGGGGGGTCAACCCTCCCGGCGGAGCCAACTCATGCACCCCCCGTCCGAGGAGCCCTCCAGACCTCTTGCCCCGACACCCCCCGCTCCCCTCTAAGAGAGCTCCAACCAGACCCCCTCCTCAATACGATGCGACATGGAGCGACGAACGACGACCACGGCGACGACGACGACCGACGACAACGGCGACAGCGAACACGACGACGACCTACGACGGCGACGGCGACGAACAACGACGACGAACGACGAGCACGACGACCGCGACGGCGCCGACGACCGACGACGGCGCAACGACGCACACGGTGGCGACGACGAACAAACGACGGCGTGTCGCGCGCCCCGTCCTCTGCGCCAGCTGCGCCAGCCCCGCCGACTTCTGTTCGCTGGCCAGCTTGCGTACGAAGCGAACTGCCTGGCCACCGAGCGAGTCTCTGCTGCCGTTGTGCTCCTCCTCCTCCTCCTCCTCCTCCTCCTCATCATCATCATCCTCATTCTCCTTTCCATTCCTCCCTCAGTCCCTTCTCCGACCTACACCCCCCCAACCTCCCCTACTGCTTATTCCCTCTTCCCTATGCCCTCCCTCCTTCTTGCCCTCCGTCCCTTTCCCTCTACACTTTACAAATGGCCTCCCCTGTCGCACCACCAGACGTGCAGGACCAGGCCAGGCGTTTCGCCTGAGATGTCCCTGCAATCGACGACCCTCAAGCTCGAGACACTTGCAACACCACCAGGACGGATGGGCGATGGCTTTCAAAACTGGCTCTCACCTCGGCGCAGCGAACATTCGTCCAAAACCTCTGCAGCAGCTACAGGAGAGGCCCCGGGCGGGCCTCCGAGAGCTTGTGCGCATGCCGTCTCCCAGGCAGCAGGGAGGCGGCGAGGAGGGAGGAGGAGGAGGAGGGAGGAGGGAGGAGGAGGAGGAGGAGGAGGAGGAGGAGGAGGAGGAGGATGACGGAGGAGAAGGAGGAGGAGGGAGGAGGAGGAGGAGGAGGAGGAGGAGGAGGGGGAGGAGGAGGAAGAGGGAAGAGGGAACGGAGAGCCTGTCGTTCCTAAAACGAAGCTCTCGCCTGAGCGCCGCGCGCGTTTGCCCTCAAAAACTCTGCCGCAGCTGCACGGATGGAGGGCCGGTCGCTTGCAGCATGGAACTCTCGCCCTTAAACGCCGCGCACATTCGCCCCACGAGGGAACAAGGAGGAGGAGGAGGAGGAGGAGGAGGAGGAGGAGGAGGACGAGGAGGCCGAGGAGGAGGAGGAGGAGGAGGAGGAGAAGGAGGAGCGGAGGGCCGGCCGTTTTCAAAATGGGGCTCCCGCCGCAGCGCGGCACGCGTTCGTCACAGAAGCTTGCAGAACCCGCGCAAGGACTGGGGGCCCGCCGTTTTCAAAACTGACTACCTACCAAATCACCCCAACCCAACCCGAAGACCCGAATTTGACCCGAATTCCGGGTTGGGGGGGGGTACGGGTTCCATGTGTTTTTCCAATGCTCCCCGACCCCCACACTGGAAATGGAGGGCAAACTGATGCCTTCGGGTTGGGTCGGGGTGGTTTGGTGGGTGGTGAAAAACGGTGCTCGCGCCTTGGTGCCGCGCACACTCCTCCTCCTCCTCCTCCTCCTCCTCCTCCTCCTCCTCCTCCTCCTCCTCCTCCTCCTCCTCCTCTGGGTGGACGCTCGTCTTCAAAAGCGGACTCACGCCAGAGCGCCGAGCACGACTGCACCAGAAACCTCCCTGCGGCCTCGAGGACGGAGGCCGGCCCTATTGTCAAGACTGGGCTTGTCGGGCTTGTTTTCCACCACCACCATAAGTTGGAGGGGGGAAGGAGGAGGACGAGGAGAAGGAGGAGGACGAAGAGGAGGAGGAGGAGGAGGAGGAGGACCCATTCCCCCTCCAACTTATGGTGGTGGTGGTGGAAAACAGGCCCATCAACGGGCCCTCGCTAGAGACCTCGTCAGACCTACACGCCAGAAGCTTGAGAGAATATGTGGCAGCCGGACGGGCGGAGGGCGGATCTTTCCCAACACGGGGCTCGCTCTCGCTGCAGACTTCCTCAACCATGTATGTGCCCCACCCCCACCCACAGCCCACCCCATCACCTCCTCCTCCTCCTTGCCCGCCGTCTTCCTCATCCAATCCCATCCTTCTCCTCCACTCTCCTCGCCCCCATCCACCCCCCGCCCCCCTCCACGCACTTGACGACCAGGGGGCGCCTCCCTTTCGAAGTGGATGCTCGCTGCGCGCTTCGCCAAAGCTTATGATCCAAGCTTCTCGCATCCCGCCCGAAGAAAAGCCCGCTGGGGGGATGCAGCGCCGCTGCCTTACAGAGCGGAGCCCCCCCCCCCCCGCGTGGCGGGTGCGTGGGGTCTTCGACGGGGGCCCCTCCTGCAGGGAAAAGGGAAGGCTGGTGAGGACTCGGGACGTGCGAGGGGGACGGCAACGACGCCGAAGAGCGACGACGACGATAACGACGATGGCGATAACGACGCCGACGACGACGATGACGACGACGGTGACGACGACGACGACGACGACGACGACGACGACGAGGATGACGACGACGAGGATGACGACGACGACGAGGACGACGAGGATGACGACGACGACGCCGACGACGAGGACGCCGACGCCGACGCCGACGCCGACGACGACGACCACAACGACGACGACGACGGCGGGACGGGAGGGTGTGTTGCACCATCAATGATGCACCCCGGGTTTACTCAGGTCGTCATCGTCTTCCTCCTCATCCATCTCACCCACGCTCATCGTAATTACTCCCCCTCTCAATCCCTCCCTCCCTGTCCCTTCTCCCTCCTCCTCCTCCTCCTCCTTCGCCTCCTTCTCCTTCATGTCCCAGTCCTTCTACTCGCAACCTCCTCCCTCTTTGCTCCGGGTAATCTTACTGGCACATTTTATCCTGGTTCTCATCCTGACATCCTCCTCCTCCTCCTCCTCCTCTTCATCCTCTTCTGCTTCGTAGCACCTCCCCCAAACTCGTCCTCCTGCTACCTCTGATCATGCCCCTTGTACTTCGTACCCTCCTCGTCATCCCTTCTCCTTGTCATCCGTCTTTCCCCTCTTCTCCCTTCTACTCGTCACCTCCGTCGCGTACCTCTCTCCCCCCTCTGTCCTTCTTTTTCGTCCTCATCACCCTCCTCCTGCTCCTGCCTCGAACTACTCCTCCGCCCTCTCATCCTCATCCTCATCCTCATCCTCATACTCATCCTCCTACGCCTCTCCTCCCCAATGCCGCTCCCCTCCCTGATAAACAAATCAGCATGGCGAAGGACCCAACCATATGCAGTTGTGAATACCGCAGTTGTAGGAATCGTCTTCGGTGGAGCCCCCTTGTAGGGCCACGAAACGCTGTACTGGGTGGGGGAGACGCATGCGGACTGCGCCACTGGCACTTTCGGTGGAGCTCCCTAGGGGCCACGAGACACTGTACTGGGTGGGGGAAATGCATGCGGGCTACGCCGATGGGACCTTCGGTGGAGCTCCCGATGGGGCCACGAAGCGCTGTACTGGGTGGGGCGGACGCATGCGGGCTACGCGAATGGGGCCTTCGGTGGAGCTCCCGATGGGGCCACGAAGCGTTGTATTCGGTGGGGGAGACGCATGCGGACTGCGCAACAGAGACCTTCGGTGGAGCTCCCGACGGGGCCACGAAACGCTGTACTGGGGATGGGAGGCGCATGCGGGCACCCCCACAGGGGCCTTCGGTGGAGCTCCCCATGGGGCCACGAAGCGCTGCACTGGGTGTGGGGGACCGCATGCGGGCGCCTCCACTGGGGGCTTCGGTGGAGCTCCCTATGGGGCCACGAAACGCTGTACTGGGTGTGACGGACGCATGCGGGCATCCCCTCAGGGGCCTTTGGTGGAGCTCCCTGTGGGGCCACGAATGGGGGAGACGCATGCGGGCACCCCCACTGGGGCCTTCGGCGGAGCTCCCTATGGGGCCACGAAGCGCTGTAGGGACGCATGCGGGCACCCCCCAGCTCCCTATGGGGCCAAGAGGCGCTGTGCTGGGTGGGGGGACGCATGCGGGCACCCCCCCTGGGGCCTTCGGTGGAGCTCCCTATGGGGCCACGAAGCGCTGTAGCGTGTGGGGAGGACGCATGCCGCATGCGGGCACCCCCACTGGGGCTTTCGGTGGAGCTCCCCGTGGGGCCACGAAACGCTTGACTGGGTGTGGCGGACGCATGCGGGCATCCCCACAGGGGCCTCCGGTTCAGCTCCCTACGGGGTCACGAAGCGCTGCACTGGGTGAGGGGGGACCGTATGCGGGCACCCGCACTGGGGCCTTCGGTGGAGCTCCCTGTAGGGCCACGAATCGCTGTACTGGGCGACGGGACCGCATGCGGGCAACCCCACTGGGGCCTTCGGTGGAGCTCCCTACGGGGCCACGAAGCGCTGCACTGGGTGGGGGGACCGCATGCGGGCACCTCCACTGGGGCCTTCGGTGGAGCTCCCGATAGGGCCACGAAACGTGTGAAGGGTGTGCCAAAGTGAGGGGGTGACGGGAGGAGGGAAGAGGGGGAGGAGGAGGAAGAGGAGGAGAGGAGAGGAGAGGAGAGGAGAGGAGAGGAGAGGAGAGGAGAGGAGAGGAGAGGAGAGGGGAGGAACGCGGGAACCGTTTCTTCAGAACGAGGACCCAACACCACAGGACGGTTGGGAATCGGCGTGTCGGCAGTATCATCTCGTTCAAAAATCAGGTGTTGTCTCCACCACGAACTCAAATAGCCGTCCCCACAAGACCCGACGTCGCGCAAGGAAAACAGCAACGTCGTCAACCAGCATAACAGGAACTCTCGACTCTACCTTCCCTGAGATCCAACGTAGCGAAACACATGCAACATCGTGAAACTCCGCGCCCGGAGCCCCGGACCCCATCTTCCTGCGTCATGTTTTCGAGACGGATCGATATGTGAGGGTCTTGGGACCCGAACAGAAGGCGAAACCGCCTGGCTCGAAAAAGTTGCGTCGCAAAGGTCTCAGCCCAGACATGCGACGTCCTGAATTTTTCAGGACGGCGTCCCTGAAGTCCCGACCCGTTCCCTGGGGCCGGTTCTTCATCCTCAGTCGTTTTTTCTGACGGTCCCAGGGCCCAGCGAGGGCCCGGCGAGGCCGAACAATACGACAAAGCTACGTCTTGATTTTCTCAACACTCGAGGACGGCGAGAAGGTCTGGTTCAAGAAAGGTGATTTCGACGGCTGCTGGGGCGCCTCAGGTCGTGCTGGAGTGCCTAAGGTCGGGCTGGAGGGACCTCGGCTCCAACGAAACGAACCTTATGCAACGAATCCTTCTGGCAGCCTCCGAAACACGTTGGGTCTCTGGGTTTGTGCAACATCTTCCGAGCCCATTCCCAGCGGCGTGGCCTGGGCCCCACTGGCCGATCTGCACCCCTAGTTGGGGATACAGGTCGTTCCCTTCGGGCTTCGAGGGGTGCATCCCCAACTGGGGGGTAATTTGGCGGGGGTCTCGAGGGGGATGGGGACGGGGATGGGCATCGGTTGAACCATACCGGCGCCAGGGTCCCGGGGCCCTCTGCCGACGGGGCCGAGACACCCCGCACTCGGAGAGGCGGGCCAGCGGAGAGACCACGGCGGCTATCCCCCGCCCCGGCCCAGATCCGCTCAAAGCCGGCCCAGGGACCCCTCCCAGGGCCCACCCCGACCTGGGAAGGAAAACCAAAAGACCGATACCGCTGCCTGGAGCAGAAGAAGAAACAAACAAAAACATAAACATAACCTTTTGGCGCTCCGCGCAAATTTCTTGGATTCGCGCTGGACCCCCCTCCCTGGCGCGCGGAGCGGGGCGGAGCCGGAGGCGCCGCCAGGGGCCCAGGCGCGGGTCCAAGAAATCCGCGCGGAGCGCCCAAAGTTTATGTTTATGTGGTTTTTCTTCTTCGATGGACGCTGCCTGGGGGCCTCTTGGTCTGTCTGGAGGCCGTCTGGGACAAAAACCAAAAGGTGCCGATGCCGCTGCTCCCCGGACCTCTCCTGGGGTGCGTTCAGACCAGGACTTCGCGGCGAATCCAGCGGTGGCGTGGAGGGCCCTCCAGGAGGCCCCGAAAAAGGGAAAAGCCAAGGAAGGGCAGCAGTATGGCCTGGCTACCTTTCCCTCCCCTGATGGCCCCCTGGGGAGGAGGGAGGAGGAGGAGGAGGAGGAGGAGGAGGAGGAGGCGGAGGAGGAGGAGGAGGAGCTTCTGGAAGGCCCAGAACAAGACGAAAAACACCCGGGGACGGCCGCCGTCGTCTCGACTGGCCCCCCGCCGACCCACGGCTCCCTGGCAGTCCAGGGGCCCACCGAAGACAGGCCGAAGGCCGCGGCCCCGAAGCGGCGCCGAGGCAGCCCCAGCACGGCCCAAGAACTAGCCTGGGGCGCCCCCTGCAAGACGAGGGCCCAGACACGATCGCGTCGAAAAAAAATCAGAGCGGAGGTTTTTCTCCGTTTTCGGCCTCTGGAAGCCCTCGCCGGGCCCCGGGACCGTCAAAAAACGACTCGGGATCCAGGGGCGCCGTCCTGAAAAAATCAGGACGTCGCATGTTTGGGGGGGCATGAGGAGCGGACAAAGGGGGCACCCATGAGTGCCCTCACGGGAACCCGAAAAGCCCGTTCCAGAGACCCCTAAGCGAGACCTCCGGCAAGCCATCAAGGAGACCCTCACGGGAGCTCTCGTCGGGACCTCATTGGGAGCCTCCATGGGAGCCCTTAAGAGACCTTTGTTGGCACCCATGAGGCCCTTGCAACGCACACGCAGGTGCTGACAATATGCGTGAATCTTTTATTCCAAGACCTTCTCGCTGCAAATGATACGTTATGCTAGCTGGTAGCGTAGGCAGAAGGGGGCCCCCTCAGCCAATATGTTTACGGGCAGAGGGGTGAGAGCATGCAACAGCAATAGCAGGGACCAGCATTATCAGATAAACAGAATGACTATTGCACTCCTGGAGTTCTCTCTGGTCCTGCTCTGAAACTCGGAATGCGGCCTGGCTATACAACGGGTTTGTTTGCAGCACGGACTTGGATTAGCACGAAATAAAACAGTAACTGAACTCTCTGAGCGGCCAAGGATCGGCAGCTGAAATCAATGAACCGAAACCCGATACGGCATCCGGAATCGGTAATATCTTGGGCAAAACCAAGCGGATGGGAGTGAAATACGACTCCCGGCACGTACAAGTAAAACATCAAACTCGCAATATCTTGGGCGAAACCAAGCGGATAGGAGTGAAACGCGACTCCCGGCACGTGCAAGTAAAAAATCAAATCACTTCTTCTGTACTTGGCCATCCCCACCGGTCAGCTCCTCGCAAGCAATCGACTCCACGAGCGAAAGCACTGGATCCGCCAAGAACTTGGTCAGATTCTCACGAAGCTTCGGATCCTCCTTGGTCATGCCGTCGGCTATCATGTGCGTCGTAGGGATCCATCTGACGTTCTTGACCTTCACCTCGTCACGAATGGAAATCACGTCGATCACAGTACGTTTCTCAGACAAACTCGGGGTGAGCTGGTGGAGGGCATCGTACAGAGACTTGCAGTCGGTAACGGTGATAACCTCGAAGATCGGTGGGTGTCGGCCAGCAGGCCGTCCAGTCAACATCTCGGACAGGAACTTCGACAAGTACGACGCGTAGTCCACTCCCAGGTCCTGCGCGATAGCTTCCCCAGCCAGCGTAGATCTCACCACTCTCGGCGTTCTCTTGGACTTGTGAAACAAGAGAGTACATGACGTGGGTCCGGTGAGTATCACCTCGTCTGCCAGAAAGATGAGGGTGCCGATCTGGGTCTTCAATCCTGGAGCGTTCGCCCATGAGCTGTCTGCAAAACTCACGAAGCAGGCGCGGCTCAAATCGACGCGGACGATCAGGATGCCAGTCTGGGCTGTGCGGTGCGCGTACTCTACGTGCTTCATGGCCATCCGTAGGTCGTTCAGCTCGGGGTCGGTCCTCTGGACAAGGGAAACCGCGGCTGACAGGTCTGGGCGTGCGTGTCCGGACAACCACTGGAGCGAACCGACAGCAGACTCCAGATCTTCGCGCTCAGAACGCGTCAGCTTAGAAGAAGACCGAGTGCTGGACATAACTCCAACCTTCGTGACTGCAATCGCCTTAGTGTAGGCCGCTTGATGAACAAACAAACTTCCGCTGTACGGACCTTGACGTAGGCGCTGGTACTCCTCGCCGAGGAAGACGAAGTTGTCCCACTGCCAGCCTCGCCATTTAATAGCCTTCTCGATCGGTGTGAAGTCGAACTTGGGATGGTGTGCCGCAAGAGCATCGTCCACGTGCATGCCCACCGCGCAAGCCAACTCATTGTTCGGAAAAAACCACAGGAAGAGAGCTGAATCGAGGCTGTGGAGCTTGCTGCCCAGCGCCAGGAAGGTCGTCACCACGTGCTTGTACCATAGGTACGGCGCCGTCGACTGACCGTACAGGTTGCCGACCACCTCGTAGAGTGGGGCGGCGAAGACTCCGGCGGCTTGAACTATCGGGTCCTTGGGCGGAATCATGTAGATCGCCTCCTCGCGCTCGCTCTGGGCACCTCCCTGGAGAAAGGCGCTCTCCGCGTCTCCGGTCCCGACTCGCCAGTCATTCGAGACCGCGATCTGGCAGATCAGCTTCTTGCCAGCATCGGTCAGCACCGGGGCGTTACGCGGCAACTTCTCCAGGTCGGGGTCGGAGAACCCCAGCAACACCGGGCGAGCCTTGGCCTTCAACGGAGGAAACCCCAAGTTCTTGTCCCGGTAGCACACGCGCGAGCGGATGCACCGTTTGCGGAGATGAGGGTCACGACGAACTTGTTCGGCCTCCTCCTGCGAGCAGGCCCGAACGGACTTCCAGGTGTCCCAGTTCTGGCACTCCTTGCGCAAGGCCTTGACGTACTCCATGAACTGGTCCTCCGGGTACTCTGCGATCTCCCGCCAGGGGATTTCACGATCCAATTGACGCTGCTCGCGTCTCGACAGGTTGTTCGAGTCCGTCGTGTCGCCCACCTGTGCTGTCGCACAGTCCACGTCCATCTCGCCGTCCCTGAGGTCGGAGAGCTCGTGGTAGGTCATGTACAGGCAGTTTGTCCAGTCGTCGTCCGGCTCGCTGTCGTCGATCGGGTCGTTCTCGAAGTTCTCGATGGGCAAGAGGTGCGCCTCGTAGGCCTCCTGGACCTCCGCCAGGCTCGAGAACACGCGGGTCCTGAGCAGGACTGGCTCCTCGACTCCGTCCCAGCCATCCGGTGTGATGAACTCCATCTCGTCCGACTCGTTGGACACGAAGGCTGCTGGGCTCGGTGAGCCCGGTATGTGAGGAAGCTTTCCTGGTCGGGGCTTCTTCTCCGGTGGTGGTGCGATAACCGTCGAAGGTGCCGAACCGCTCGATGGTGGTCGAGCTGCGGACGACTCGCGGGTATGAGGTGCTGATCTCCTCGGCGTGGGCGTCGCAGAGCGCTCTCGTGTTCTGACTGGTCCAAACTGAGGCGGTGCCGGCCACGGAAAGGGCGCAGCGGGCTCTGGAGCTTCGCCTTCGGCTCGACTCTGGGCTCGACGCCGGGTACCGCTCTGGCCTGTCGGCGTCGGAGACTCCGATGCGTCGGCAAGTTGAGGAAGTTCAGCATTTGGCGCAGCTTCAGGGGCGTCGTCGGCTGACGCGCTCCTGAAGTTCTCTTTGGTAGCGTTGTCTCCCAGAGAGGCCTGTGCGGGCTCCTCCAGGATGGGCTCGAGCGGGGCTGCCGGAAGAGGTCCCGGCAGCACTCGTGCTTGCGGATCTTCTGGTTCGGGTTGTTGTTCAGGAGGGCCCTCAATGATGATGTTCGAAGCGTCGCCCTGGCCGGCCTTCGCCAAGTCCTGCTCGGCCGTCTTGAGCTCCTTGAGGTCCTCCTCGGAAGGGGTCCAGCCCTCGAAACCGACGGCTGGGCGTATGTGTTCGCGGGCCACCTGCACAGTGCGGTGCCCGATCCGCAACCAGGCAGACTCGCCCTTGCCGTAGCCGTTGGTGCCGGAATCCCAGAAACAGAAAATGCCCGGGCGATACCCTGCCACGGGCGTCTTGCCCCGTCGCTTGCGACCATGCTCGCCCCAGGCTGCCACGCGCTGTCTCGAGAGGAAGTCGTACTCCTTGCGGTTGACAGGCTGGCGGAGGATGGAGGTGCGCAGCGCCTCGTCGGCCTCCAGGTCGGCGATCGCCTTGAGCGCCTCAATGCGGCATCTCTCCCCGTAGGCCAGCATCTCATCCTGGGTGCAATTGTGCCAGAACTCGGCGGACGTGGTGTCAGCCAAGAGCTCGGTCGGAAGCGTGGGTACCCGTCCGAAGGCGGCGGCATAGGCGGTGCGGCCTGCTCGGCGCACTGACTGGTTTACGGCGTGGCTCGTCGAGATGATCGCAAGGTCCACGTGCTCTGGCATCGTCGGCAGGATGACGTCGATCACCTTCTCGAAGACTCGGCGCCAGGCGTAGTTGCCGGATTCGGCCAGGCCCAACTGCCAGTGAGCTCCCGGCGGCACGTACCTCACGTCGATTCCCAACGTGTGGCAGTTGTCCATGAACACGGCTTCGAAGGCGCCGTCCCTGTCGACAACCAGAATCTGCATAATCCCGAACGGGGTGAGCCAGCACGTCTGGAACTTCTCCCAGACGTCTCCTGGTTCGCGTGAAACAATCCGACACACCACATGTAGTCTCGTAGCTTTGTCCACCAGTCCCAAGAGTGCGTGTGTCGTACCGTCGTGGGTCATGACGTAGAACAAGTCGCCCTTGACTAAGTCGTTGAACAGACCCACCCTTGGAATCTGTGACTCCCGCTGTCGCTGAGGCCGTTTGCGACGAAGGCACGCCGGGCACCTCAGCGCTCTGGCGCACAGCAGCGTGGCCTGCGAGGCGCCTCTCTGAGCCAGGAACTGGAAGAACTCGCTGGGCACCGGATGTCCCAAGTTACAGTGCATACGAGCGACAAGCTGGCGAACTTCACGAGGACACTGCTCCTTTGTCACTCCAACAAAACGTATACCAGCCATACCGCCGGACGCGTCAGGCATCCGAGCGATCGGGACGTCCTGCAGGTCGTCGTCCTCGTCGGGCGGCAGGCTGTTGTTCGGCAGCATCGGGTCGTTCGGGTCCGGGGGAAGCGGCATTCGCTTCTCTATCTGTGACGTGTCAGGCTCCTGCGGGAGGGACTCCTGCTTGGCATAGCCGAAGAAGAAAACGGCTAGGTCCGCGGGCGGCGACAAGGCCAACGTCGGGAAGGCCACGTCAACCAGGTCCTCGGCTTCGATATGGTAATGTCCCTTCTCGTCCACGTAGCAGTGACCACGGTGAGACCACGGCTCCTTGTTGATGGGGAACCTCCTTTGCTTGGCTGCCTTCGCGAGCTGGATCATCGTGAGGTCCCACGGGACGAGCTGGCTAATCTGTCTCCAGAGCGTGGACGACTTCGAAAGGTAATGCATGGCCTTGTTCCCGCCTCGGCTGGCGGAACCGCCCACGATCTGTCGGACGCCCTGCATGACCGCCTCCCACCTGGTGGGGTCCTTCTCTGGCGAGGCGAACAGCACCTCGATGGGACCTGCGTGGTTGTAGGCGACCTCCCACTCGGTAGCCGCAACCGGCATGTCGGCGAACCTGCTCGGATTCCTCTGGGCGGCGACCTGCTGGATCGCGTAGAGCATCGCGTGGGCCATCTCGTCGGTGTACTCGCCGCTGGCCTTTGTCCACTTCGAGTTCTCAATCTGATCGTGCAAGTGGCCCCCGGACTCCGGACGAAGTCCTGGGCAGCGGCGGCTCAGAGCCGCAAGCACGGGCGGCGAGTTGGAGAACCAGCGATACGCCTTGCGAATCGGCAGGCCAGTCTTGCCTGTCTTCCCGTACTGGCACCCATGGCCGATAACGGTCTCGCCCAAGGGCAGGAGCGGGGCGAACTGGAGGTCCTTCCAGATCGCTGACGTCGGCGGGTTCTCGAACAAGAAGAACCGGCCATGCTTCACCTGGTACTTGATGGTCCACTTGATCAAGTCAATCAGCCGTCGATCCCGAGCACGAAGTCTCTCAAGCAGCTCGGGATGGTCGACGTAATTCACATTGACATTGTAGGAGCACCAGAGCGTGCAGGGGAAGCCTACGATCACGTAGAGTGGCTTGTCTTTCAGTATCTGATCTTTCCATCTCTGAGCACCGCGCGTAGTTGACAAGTCCCAGCCGTCCTCTATGTCGGCGCTCGGCGAGGCCCTCAGCTCAAAGCGTGAAGCGAGTCGCGTAGGTCTTGCTGTCCCTGCGCAGCCCTCGATGAGGTCGGTGCCGCACGCCTGGCACTCGTTGTCCAGGTACCGGTGGTCGGGCAACTCAGGAACGGGAATGTCCATGAAGGCCACGTCCGAACAGCACCATTCCGCGTCTCGTAAATCTGCAGCTCGGCGATCGGCATCTTGACTCACGTTAATAAGCGTCTCGCAGGCTGCGGTCGTCTTCTTAGCAATGCCGAGAAGGCGCTTCCAGGCGCCTCTCTTCACCATCTCGGTCCCCGACGCGGGGGAGGCTGGCGCGGAAGCTTGTCCCATCCCTGGTCCGTCTCCTCGCCCCCGGAGGTCCGGTCCATGTTCTCGTCGTACTCCTCGTCCGTCGGAACCGCCTGCTCCGAGGGTGACCTTGGCTCCGCCTTGGTCCGCGTGCGACCCTGGCTCGAGCTCGCCGAAGACTTGACCGGGCGTTTCGGCATTGTTGAAGCAGCTGGCCGAGAGCGCGAGGAGGAACCCAGTGACTTTGTCGAGGTAGGTACGCGAAGAGGATCTTCTTTGTCGTCCACGATCCACTTCCCGTTGACCGACTTCCACCGCCGGCCGCACTGGTCGCAGATCAGCCAGTACCCCTTGGCGTAGTACCTCCTCGTTGTCGGATGGGCGCACACGTCCCTCTTCTCGCACAGCTGTGAGTAGTTCTGGGCTTGATCCTCTGGTGCCGGCGGCGGTGGCAGCACGCTCTCCGGAACCTGTGCGGCTCCTCTCGCGATCGCCTTCACTGAGTCCGCCATCGGTGTCAGGTAGCCCATCTCGTGGCCCATCTGCGCGATCGCGCCCATCATCCGGTTCGACATCTCCATGTTCTGCCGGAACTGCTCGCGACTGCGACCGATGATGTGCGACAGGTGGTTCATGATCAGCTGCATCAGGTTCGTCCACGCGTTGATCGCCAGGTTCTGCCTCGTCAGCTGAACTGTACGACGAGACGATCGGGCCTCCTGCGACTCCGACTTGACCGACTTCATTCACCGACAGACCGAGGATGCTCTCGAACACGGGCGTGGCGTCGGTCAGGTTACAGCCGTCTGGCACGGAGGGCAGGACTTCGCGAGGCTGACGCAGCCCGCGGTGAGTATATGTAAGAGCACACAGTGCTGCGCGTGAAAACTGCATAGGCTGAGACTCGGCTTGAGCACAACTATCTCCGGAAACACAGGCTGGTGCCTCTGGGATCCACTGGGGCTCCGGGATGATGACGTCCGAGGGGGTGAACTTCCAGGCCTCGGGCCCCCTTGGGAACCCCACATCCTTCAACCAAGAGTCGACTCTCAGAAGCAAGTGGCCATTCGGGGCAATCTTCAAGGGCACGTCGTACAGGTTGATCTTGGTGAAATGAGCCCTTTCCCCCAAGGTGTCCAGCTGGAGGCCCAAGAGCTTCCGCATCGGTAACGATCCCAAGAAAGGCAACTTAGGGTTCACGTCCAAGACTGAGGTACGGCAAACCAGGGGCACCACATGTTCAAGACATATCGGGAAATGCACCACAGATTTGCTCACCGCACGACTGACTCCAAACCGAAACCTCTCTTGCTCCTCAGCTTCCCAGAAACTCAATCCCAGGTAGGCGATATGTTCCAGAAACTTTCCCAAACACTCGTAGCCCACAACGTTGCGCTGGCAACCTGTGTCGATGACAATGTAGAAACCCTGGGAATCCTCGAGGAAGCAAACGTCCAAGGGCGTCCGGACATGCCAGATGACGTCGACCTGATGCGATGATTTTGTCCCGCTTCTCGCCGCCTGAGCTCCGCGAGAATCCACGGAAAACTGACGCACTTCTGGCGTTGCCTGAAATCGAACGTGAGAGGCCCCCTTGTCGCTGGTGGCGACCCTGCTCTTGAAGGCGGCCACGCGCTGCTGCAGCTCGTCGGGCGAGAGGTGCGTGACTAAGGCCTCGTGCTCTACTGCATCGGCGGCGTGCTCCTCATCGTCTTCATCGGCGGGTTCGTCCTGGTCGATCGAGGCATCATGAACGGCGCGAGCTCGGTCGCGTTTATCCTTGTAGCCGGTCCTCGAAGACGTCTGGCGAAACCCTGGCCTCTGAGATGCCGCCGGTGCTCTTGAATCTCCGGATCGGTCTCCCGTAAATGTTCCACGAATGCTTCCTGAAAAAGACGTGCCGGCCGGCGGCGTCGCAGTGCCTCTCTGTGGCGGTGCTGACGATGTCTGCGGCGGCCTGCCGGGCGGCGCTGGGGACGGCCGGCCCGCAGGGGCGGTGGCACCCCCAGAGGGCGCTGACCGCGGTGGCGGGCGTCGGTCTCCAGGCTTCGGCGGTGAGGACCTTCCGGTCCACCCGCGGCCCAAGGTCAGCTTCTTCAACTTGTCGCTGGTGACGGTCAAAGCGTCCGCCACCTCCAGCATGACCTGGATACTGTCAACCTCCTCGGCGTAAGCCTCATTTACTTCTGCTTGATCGGGGTCATCTTCATCTTCGTTTTCCTCAGCCTCGTCCTCGGGAATAATGTCGGCCTCGCTGACGTGGGGCGGCTTCGGCGGCGGTCGAGGAGCTCGACTCGGTGGCTGTCGATCTCGTCCTTTGCCGCCTCCTTTGTCGGGATCTCGACCAGCCGACCTGCGTTCAGGAGCGGCCGCCTCACCGAGTCGCTTACGTGCCATCCGTCGTACTGGTGCGACCCAGTTCGGGGCGGTGGACGGCCACTGCACACTCATAGCCTGAACGAGGCGGTCGAAGTCATACTCATTTCCCGTGGCGAGGAGAAGGTTGCGCCGGACCTCCGGCGATAAACATGAACTTCGCAACAACTTGAATGCTCGAAATTGTCCTTGCTGAGCTGGGAGCTCTGCCCGCTTGAGCCGCATCTCGAGATCCTTGAAATGCGCGACGTATGCGGCCAGCAGCTCACCGGGCAGACGCTCCACTTCTTCGTACTCTTCCATGAGGTCTCCAACCTGTAGGATCTGCTGCTCGTCAAACACGGCGAGGGAGTTGATCACCAAATCAATACCATCCTGTGAATACAACCGGGTCCATTCCAAGGACTCGATCATCTCTGCGCCTTCACCCGTGATGACGTCTGAAAGGTCCAGGGCCAATTCGGCCATCGGCTTGTAGTGTCGCGCCCTGGCCTTCCACATGTGGACTTTCCTAACCCACTTCTGGTAGTATCTCGGCTGCTTGTATATATTCTGAAACCTGGCCTCGAGTGGAGGTGGGGCTGGGCACGGTCCTCCGCGCCACTTCTTGCGATCACCGCGGGTGCGTCGAAACTCCGCCGAGCTCGGGGGAATCTCCGACTCCTCGTCGTCGTCCTTGGCCCAGTCCTCTCCAGCCCACTCGTCGGCCCATTCCTCTTCGTAGGTCTCGTCGTCGGGCACAGACGCTGCCGCTGCCGCGGCTCCCTCTCGAGGGTGCTTGCCTCTGTATCGACGATCTCCGTACTTCTTCGGTGCGGCGGCGCCGCGAGAACCAGCGGCAGCAGCAGGCCTCCGGTCAGCCATCGTGCGAGATGTGATATCCGTCGGAATCTGTCCGACTGCACGGGAGTGTCCGGGAGGGAACTGTCTGATGCCGAAAGGGTTCTCCCTGCGAGGGAGCTCGGAATACACGCTCCGCTGCCAATGCAACGCACACGCAGGTGCTGACAATATGCGTGAATCTTTTATTCCAAGACCTTCTCGCTGCAAATGATACGTTATGCTAGCTGGTAGCGTAGGCAGAAGGGGGCCCCCTCAGCCAATATGTTTACGGGCAGAGGGGTGAGAGCGTGCAACAGCAATAGCAGGGACCAGCATTATCAGATAAACAGAATGACTATTGCAGCCCTCACAAAGTCTACCAACCAACCATGGGATTGCCTCAAAGCCTCCCACCCCCAAGAGGCCCTCTGCAGGAAACCGATGAGGGCCCCAACAAGCCCCTATCAGGGCCCCAAGCGCCAGAGAGGGCGGGAGAGACAGAGAGAGGAGAGACGACAAGGGAAGAAGGAAAGAAGCGGGTGCCCAGGCATCATCCAATATGTGGGGTGCCCAAGCATCATCCAATATGTGATCTCTTCAGTCCGCGGCCACGGAACTCTGGGCCCCTTCCCCATGGGATATCTCTGCGCCACCTCGGATCCGCTTTTGATAGCCCCAGGGGCCCGAAAGGAGCCCTCCGAAGACGAATGAAAGAAAAACGGCGCGACTGAACAAAAGACACACCGTTGAAGTCTAGAAGATGCCCTCCCATCGATCTATCTGGGTGGAAGAGGACGGGGCTTGAGGAGGACCCTGGGCGGAGGAGGATAGAGGGAGGATGACGAGGAGGAGGAGGAGGAATATGAGGAATAGGAGGAGGAGGAGGAGGAGGAAGAATAGGAGGAGGAGGAGGAGGAGGAGGAGGAAGAGGAGGAGGAGGAGGAGGGCGAGAAGGAGGAGGAGGAGGAAGAGGAGGAGGCGGGGGGAGGAAGAAGAGGAGGATCGAGGAGGAGAGTGGAGGAGGACGACGACGGCGCGAGGTACACGTAGACCCTCCCCCCTCCCCCCCGTCGGGGGCGGCGGGGCGCCCGCCCGACCCCTCTGCTGGGGCCGGCGAGGGCCGGGGACGAGGACGAGAGCAGGGACCAGCAGCAGCACGGCGGCGGCGGCGGCAGCGACGCTGACGCTGACGCGGACGCTGACGCTGACGCTGACGCGGACGTGGACGTGGACGTGGACGTGGACGTGGACGTGGACGTGGACGAGGACGAGGACGAGGACGACGACGACGACGACGCGCTCTGATGCATCGGCCTAGATGCGGGCGCCGACGGCGCCCGCCCCGACCCCCGCCGGGACCCGCGAGTGGCGGCGACGCGGACTGGGGTGTCTCCATGACAGAACGCCTGGAGGGTCGATCTTCGGGGTCCTCTTCCGCCTCCTCCGCCTCCGGCAGGCGGCTGCTACAGGTTGTGCTTGGCCTCCCCAAGGCCCGAACAGATCCGCATCCGCCGCCTGCCAAGGTTCTTGAAGATCGATCCCCGCCTCGGAAGGGGACAGGGACGAGGACTCTGCGACGACGGCGGCGATGACCCCAGACATCCTCCCGTATTTGTTTTTTCACCTGCCACCAAACTCACGACCCCTTCCCTGGGGGTAGTTTTGCGCACGGCCCAATAACGGGCCACAGAGGCTGAAATTAAAGGAAAAAGGCCGCGAGTGCATAAAATCACACCCTCGGAGATCTGCGACGATAGCGGCGACTGACGACGGCCACGACCGACAACGATCGACGAAGACGCCGACGAACGGCGACGACGAAGACGACGAAACCCGCTCGACGACGACATCGACGAGCGGCGATGACGACGAAGGGCGACGAAGCCCACGACGAACGACGACGACGACGACGACGGCGACGACGACGACGACCGCCGACGACGGCGACGAGCGGCGACGACGACGGCCCGCGACGACGGCGGCGACGTCGACGACGGCGGCGGCGCCGGCGGCGGCAGCGAAAACGACGGGCGCGTTGAAGGCAAGCCTCGAAATGGGCGAGGTCCGCGGCGGTCCGGAGGCCGGAGGAGGCCACCTGCAGGAGGGACGCCTCTCGGGCGCGGCGGCGGGTGCGCCCAAACTCCTCTCTCGTCCCTGCTACTCGTCCCTTCTCCTCCTCCTCTTCCTCCTCCTCCTCCTCCACCTCCCTCCTCTCTCCTCTCTCCTCCCTCCTCCTCCTCCTCCTCCTCCTCCTCCTCCTCATCCTCCTCTTCCTCCCACTCCCTCTCCTCCTCCCTCCCTCCTCCTCAACCGCTTCCTCCCTCCTTCTCAGTCCTCCTCCCTCCGTGCTCTCTCCCTCCTCCCTCGTCCCTCCTCCTGCCTGCTCCTCCTGCTCCTCGTCCTGCTCTTTCTCCTCCTTCTCCTCCTCATCATCATCAGCATCACCATCATCACCATCCTCATCCTCATTATCATCACCATCCTCATCCTCATCATCATCAGCAGCAGCATCAGCATCAGCATCAGAATTGTCACCGTCATCATCATCATCATCATCATCATCATCATCATCATCATCATCATCGTCATCATCATCATCATCGTCCTCATCCTCGTCCTCATCCTCATCTTCATCCTCATGCTCATCCTCCTCCCCAGTATCAGCAGCAGCATCACCATCATCATAATATTCGTCATCATTATGATCATGATCATCATCATCCTCATCCTCATCCTCATCCTCATCACCATCATCATCATCATCAGCATCATCATCAGCAGCAGCATCATCGTCCTCGTCCTCGTCCTCATCCTGATCCGCATTTCCATCCTCATCCTCATCCTCCTCCTCCTGCTCCTCCTCATCATCATCGTCATCATCACCAGCCACATCACCATAACCATCACCGTCGCCATCATCATCACAACCACCATCATCAGCATCAACAACTGCATCATCATCACAATCACCAGCATCATCAACACCATCAACACCAGCACCAGCACCAGCATCATCATCATCATCATCATCATCATCATCATCGTCATCACCGTCATCACCGCCATCACCGTCATCACCATCATCATCACCAACAGCATCACCATCATCACCACCACCACAACCATCAGCATCAGCATCAGCATCAGCATCAGCATCCTCATTCTCATCCAAATCCTCATCCTGGTCTCCATCCTCATCCTCATCCTCATCCTCTGCATCCTCATCATGATCCTCATCTTTGTCCTCATCCTGATCCTCATCCTCATCACCATCATCAGTACCCTCACCATCATCATTATCATCATCGCCATCACCATCACAGTCATCATCATCATCATTATCATCAGCATCATCGTCATCTTCATCACCATCACCATCCCCACCATCACCACCATCAACATCATCACCTTCACCATCACCATCACAATCACCATCACCATCACCATCACCATCACCGTCACCATCATCATCATCATCATCATCATCATCATCATCGTCATCATCATCATCATCACGTCCGTCCTCCATCTGCAACTGCACAACATGACTACTGTGTTCCTCTCTCACGTCGGTGAGGTGTCCTGGCCTCCTCCGCGTATTGTTCTAATGCCGCCGAATTGAAAACATATATGTGTTTTCCAATCCGAACGTTTCAATCCGTTCAGAATGGCGCTCCCGCTACAGCGTGGGCTCCATTTCCACTTCTTCAGTCCTTCCTGATTATGTGCCCGATGCAGCGCTGACCTTATCTCACTGTTTCGGTTCTTCCAAGTCGTGTTCCTGCTGTAGCGTTGACTTCAGTTCCGCGCTTCCAATCCTTCCGAATCGTGCTCCCACTGCAGCGTTGGTCTCATTTCCGAGGTTTCGGTCTTTCGAAATCGTGCTCTCGCAACAACGCTGATCTCATTTTCGCTTGCCGCTTTCGAAATCGTCCATCCGCATTACCCGTCCTGTCTGGTTTCCCGCTGACCCTGTTGTGGCCGTGCTCCTCTGTGCCATGCTATGCCGTGCTATCATGCTTCGCGTACCCTCTAGGGATCACTGCCCTGTCCGCCCGAGGGGCTGGTGCACAGCACCAGCATGCCGTCGTAGCCGTTCCAGTCGGGTCCGACATCGGCGCTCGACCTGCACTTGCTGCACCTCCCCGCGCGATGGCGAGCCACAGAGACCCTCGGAGAGGTCGCAAGCGAAGCTGCAAGCGCAGCTCAGCGCCACCTCCTCTGGCTCCCTGCCTCAAGGCCATCCTCCCCCTCTCGGCCTGTTGTCCTCCCTCCTCCCCCTCCCCCTCCCCCTCCCCCTCCTCCCCTCCTCCCCCTCCTCCTCCTCCTCCTCCTCCTCCTCCTCCTCCTCCTCCTCCTCCTCCTCCTCCTCCTCCTCCCCCTCCTCCCTTTCCGCCTGCCTGCCTTATCCTCCTCCTCCTCCTCCTCCTCCTCCTCCTCCTCCTCCTCCTCTCCCTCCCTCATTTGCATCCGTAACCTCCCGAAACACGGGGCCTGGTTGAAACCATACGCGATGTCGTTCGCCCCGCTGGTCGACTCCTTGAGGACCTGCGCAGACAAAGGATGGGTGAACACGTAGAAGACTGACACGGAAACTGGATGATGATGATGATGATGATGATGATGATGATGATGATGATGATGATGATGATGATGATGATGATGATGATGATACATCCGGATGAAGACAAATCAAGCACCTCTGAGGACCGCCAGGCCTGGAGAACGCATCGGGCGCCGCGCTACGCCGTGAGAACGCTCCCGAACGCTCCCGCCGCTTCCAGCGCTACGATTCCGGAGAGCATCTGCGTCCGCTCCTCGGGGGCCATGAGTCTGGTGACGTGGAGAGGGGGGAAGACAGGGAGGGAGGGAGGGAGGGAGGGAGAGAGGGAGGATGGGGAGGAGGAGGAGGAGGAGGAATGATTTGTCCTCGTCTTAGGCCTGTTGGAAGGGCGGAGTGGGCAGAGACGGGAAGGGGGAGGGGATCGGCCTTCGACGATCGATGTGTGGGGACTTGCTTGGCTCATGTTGGCCCTCTGGGTGGGTTCTCTTCGCCGCACGCAGCATCCCCCATCCCAAATGACCAATCAAGACGCCCCCTGGGAGAGTAGTACTCCACCATGCAGTCGGGCCGCTGCCATGAGGAACGGCAAGTAAGGAACAAGGCCCCTTGTTTTGGCCCCAGAAGCGCCAACGTACACATGAGAAACATCGAGCCCATCTCGTGCCCAAACTGCTCCTTACTTCGGCGTCTTGACTGTATGTGCGCGAGTATTCGCCCTGGGGATCTCTCAGAGCCCTCCTGGCCCGTCTCTGCCCTCCTGGGACGGTCGTGGGGCAACTCTTTGGCTAGGTCGGCCATGTCCTCCTACAGGCGTGCTTTGGAAGGAACATCAAAACGTATCTAAAACATTTTCCCAAATAGTCAAACAAGAATTGAAAAATCGTCCCCAGACTATTTCAAAACTATTTTTGAATCTTCCAAAGAGGTCGTCAAGAGGCCTCAAGAAGCCCCCAGAAACGCCCAAGAGGCCTCCGAGAGGCCCAAAAGATACCCCGCGAGGCCCCAAGAGGCGCCCAAACTGCCTCCAAGAGGCCACTTCAGGATTCCTACGACTCCACAACGCATGTGCAAGAGGCCTCAGATCCAAAGCCCAGGCACGGTGGTGGGATAGGCCGAAGGTCATTAGGATCAACCGCCCCCTGTCGATTCATCGCAAGGGTGCCTGGCGTGCTGAATCATCTCGGTTTTGGTTTTTGTTCTTGATCCGGATATATATATAATATATATATATATAATAATAATATATAAATAAAAAAAAAAAAAAAAAAAAAAAAAAAAAAAAAAAAAAAAAAAAAAATCCCCCTGGGGCTTCGGCCCGTCCCGCCGGGGTCCCAGGAAGGTGCTCAATCCGGAAAAAATCCTCCAAGATGGCTCAAGATGGCGCCAAGATGACCACGTTGGCCCAAGATGGCCTCCAAGATGGTCCAAGATGGCCTCCAAGTTCGCCCAAGATGGTCCAAGACGGCCCAAGAGAGTCCAAGACGGCCCAAGTCGGCCCAAGAGCCCCCCAGAGGCCTCCAAGACGGCTCAAGAGGCCTCCAAGAGGTCCCCAAGGAGGGCCCGAAGAAGCCAAAATCATTGATTAGGGCTTTGAAAGATTTTGCCAGTTGTTTCTTTTCGGCCTTCCGACGGCTCAAGACGGCCCAAGAGGCCCCCAAGATCGCCGCAAAATCGCCCAAGAGGCCTCCAAAATGGCCCCAGAACCGCCTCCAAGACGGCCCCAAGAGGCCCCCAAGACGGCCCAGGAGGCCTTTAAGACGCCCAAGATGGCCTCCAAGACGGCCCTGGAGCGTTCCAAGTGGGCCCCAAGTCGGCCCAGAGAGGCCCCCCAAACGGCTTGAGACGGGCAAGGAGCCCACCAAGACGGCCGAAGATTGCCCTAAGATTGCCCAAGACGGCCCAAGAGGCCTCCAAGAGGGTCTCCAGGAAGGCCCTAAAAGGCCAAAATCAGGAATTTCCCATGAGCTTTTGTAGGAGTGTGGCATTTGCTTGTTGTTCGGCCTTCCGACGGCCCGAGACGGCCCAAGTGCCCCCAAAGATCGCCCAAGAAGTCCAAGACGGCCCCAAGAGGCCCCCAAGACGGCCCAAGAGGCCTCGAAGACGGTTAACATGGCCTCCAAAACGGCCCAAGAGCCCTCCAAAACGTCCTCCAAGAAGGCCCGAAAGGGTCAAAATGGCCTTCCGACGGCTTAGATAACCTTCAAGATGCCCACGTGTTCCCCGAAGGCTTTCCAAACCGATTCGGGGAACACATGGTCCGATAGCTTGCCAGGTCTGGCCTCAACGTTCGGCCACAAAGGCGTTTCCAAAAAGGCAAGGGGCGGCGGTGATTCGCCGTAGGCGTCTTCGATAACGCCGACATCCCAATTTGCGCTGATGATTCCTATCCGCCTCCGCATGATGTTTCCAAATGGTCTCAGATGCGCCAAGGCAACGCCGAGACGCACCGACGCCAGTCTGACATATCCCATTCTGATAGAGAGGGGGCCGGCGGCAATGGGCGAAACCCGTTTTACGGGTACTGTTATTTGACGAAGGTAAGGGTGGGTGGGTCGATTTTGGTTTGGTGGGGCTGATATGGATTCATATCTAGAACGACGGATGGGGCAAAACCGTGTCTTATTTGCCCATCCCCAGCGGGAGCCGATACGTCTGGTTTCGGGGGGGTGGTCGGCCCGATTTTTTTAATAGAATTTACGTTGTGCAACCAACGTGGTGCAACCGATGTCTGTGGTGCGGTCTATGTGGTGCAATCTGTTCCACGCGACGGGCGGCGACGTGGTGGCGACGGCGACGACAAACTAACCGCCAGAGGGCCAGCCAGGCCCAGACGGGCGGCGACGGGGCGGCGACGGCGACAACACAGCCGCCTGACCGCCAGCCATTCCCAGACGACGGGCGGCGACGAGGCGGCGATGGAGCGGCGACGGCCACAACATAGCCGCCAAACCGCCAGCCAGGCCCAATTCCCTGGAAGAGAAATAAGAAACCCGAAAAACGAACACTGCATGGGAAATGAACAATCACTCCACCGCTCGCGCTATCATCCGACACTCCCGCCCGCAACTTGGTTTCCAAAACCCATGCGGCAGCCATTGCCATGGCTGGCGAATCGTTTCGGCCGCGCTGGCGCGCGCAAGCTCGCGCGCAGAGCAGGGCCGGCTGGTTTAGCGCAGCCGATGCAGCCGCGATGGCGTTATTCCAGCGTGTGTCAAAGGCCGCGTGGGCGCGCGGGCACCTCAATGCGGGTCGATGGCTCGGGCGGGCGCGGCATCATGATGACGCCGACATCGACGGCGACAACTATGACACCATGACAATGGCAGCGGTGGTGGCGATCATGGCGATGACGACGGCAAGGCCAAGACGGCGTCGATGCTGGCAACGCCGACGACAGTGATGGTGTCCATACCTCGATGGCGAAAATGCTTGAGTGGTGATGGCGGCAATTGCGGCGACGGGCGATGACGATGACAATGACGTGATGCGGGTTCGCTGCTGATGGCGATGATGAGAAAGCGCGCGCGCGGAAATCCAAACGAGGAGTAGGAGGAGGAGGAGGAGGAAGAGGAGGAGGAGGATGAAGAGGAGGAAGAAGAGAAAAGTACCGGGAAGTAGGGGAGGAACAGGAGGAGGAAGAAGGAGGGTGAGGAGGAGGAGGAGGAGGAGGAGGAGGAGGAGGAGGAGGAGAAGGAGGAGGAGGAGGAGGAGCAGGAGGAGGGGAAGAGGAGTAGGGGAGGGAGGAGGAGGAGGACGACGAGGACGAGGAGGAGGAGGACGAGGAGCAGGAGGAGGAGGAGGAGGAGGAGGAGGGAGAGGCTGGAGAGGAGGGCGACGAGGAGGAAACGAGGCGAGGCGATCCGCATAAGAAGGGGTCGTCCAACTTCAGCTGTAAAACTAGAAATGCTCCCGTGCGTGAGTTGCACGTTGCAAGGGCCCGACAGCCATTCGAGATCGTATCGAAGCCGCTGCCAGGGCCTGCGCAAGGGGGGGGTCACGCGGCCTTCCCTCCACCCCCTCCCCCTCCCCCGCCTCCGCCGCAGGCTAGCCTGCGGCCCGCTCGCAGGGGGCCCTGCGTCGCCGGTCAATAGCTCCCCGATGCAACCAAGGGGCGCGGCACCATTGGCACCGCGTTGCCAATGGCGCGTGCGAGCGGGCCTGCCCAAGAAGGAGGGTTCCCTGAGCCCCCCCTTAATTCGCGAGCCATATTCCTTGCTGT